TACTATATTATATATATATATATATATATATATATATATATATATATATATTTTTTTTTTGTTTTTTTCTTTTTTTTGTTCAAAAGACTCACGATCTTGTCACTTACATTGCGTGTCTGTATTATAAATTCCACATCGTCTCCTAGCCTGAGTTCTTCTTTCATTGACTTGGCTTCACTAAAGTGGAAGAATATCTCCTTAACTACATCCGCACGCTCAATAAAACCAAAATTCTCTTTCATTGAGCACACCACTCCACGATAACGAACTGGATGTACTGGGTTCTCCAGCCTTACGTGACACGCACCCAAGTTTCCTCTAAAATTTGCATTAACATATATATTAGCATACAATATTAGCAATATAGTTGACAACTTCATATTAAAAACTGCCAACTGATGTAATTCGTACCGTTGATTGGTAGCAATTTGAAATGACACTTTATCACCAGCACGCAAAGTGACGTTCCCTTCGACATCATCTTTGGTATATGGCAGAAAAAAGCATTCTCCTCGATTTTCATAACTGATGCGTCCTTGTGAGTCACCACTTGCTTGTAACTCTGTTGTTACATTACCGATGCACCGTTGATCACCTAATGCCTGAAAGAAAATAATATACATGTGTTTACTTATATACCTATTAATATTTCTGGAGACATAATGTAAAAGTCCAATATTTGGACACTAATAATACTGGTACCTAAGTCTAGCACATCTAAACTCTGGCATTTTTATCTTTAAATACAAATATTTAAATTTTGAATATAGAAAATATACATATATATATTGAACATATATTCTATGTTGAAAGTTTAGATATTTATATTTAAAAATCAAAACAACAAAAATATTAAGAGTTAGCTGCCGGTGTTATTAGTATTCAAGCATTCGTGCTTTTGCCTTATTTACTACATGTGCTATTATTACTTTTCTACTAACCACTGGAGCGATCTTGCTAACAGTGCTAGCAATGGGCTTGCCTGTTCGCCTATCGTAAGTCATTTCAAATTCCACCGGATCTCCAATCTTCAAATGCTCTATGTTACCACTAAATTGGCTAAAATGAAAAAACAGTCTTGCCTGTCTTTCACAGCATTGTATGAACCCATAAGAATGCTGTTGAACAAAAGATGAAGTCGTGTGAAAATTAGTCATTTGTATTGATTTCGGAGAAAACAGTAAAATACGATGTGTCAACCACTCACCAACAATTTCTCGATTATTCCCGTTTCTCGTGTCCCTTGATTCGCAGACTGATCTTGGTAGGAAGGATTATTAGCTGCAGGTTCACCAGTGTAACCAGCGTTCGTTTCCATGCTGGTGAATTCGAACGGAAATCTTGTCGCGCCATTGCGTGGTGATGTTTGTGCACCAGGATAATTTCCATAGTTAGTAGTAGTAGTAGTAGTAGTAGAATTTTTGCCACATCCGGGAGGTGAACCCATATAGTGATCACCACTGTAGTTGGTACCATTTCGGTAGTTGTTAGTTGTGGGTTGATGAGATCCCGTCATGGCTTTAGGACTTGGTATAGCCATGGACTTATAGTCAAGTATTGCTGGGTCAGAGTTCATGATTGGCGGCTGGAACGTTTTCCACTGAGGATTGCTGGACATTGTCTTCTCAATTTGCGCAGTGCTTGTATGTGTGTGTATGTTATGTGTGTGTGTGTAATATTTACGTATAATTTAGATCTTCTTTCAAAAGAATTACTTAATTCCCTTTTATGTTCACACTTCTGTTTCACCACAATATATATATATATATATATATATATATATTTATATATATACTTATATTTAGAAATTTTTAGTCTTTTCAATTATTTAAGTGTTAACATAGATATCACAGAACGGTTCTTGGTACCTTATGTCTTTGTTCACTATTATAATGTTACAAGAACTTAATGAAGAGGAAGAGTGGCTCTTTGAAATGCCGCAGAAATGCAGGCTTCTTCATAACCAGGAAATGGAAGTGAGGTCTCTTCAAAGTATTTCTCAACACGTATCGTGAATTATTTTATCGGAGAGTACCGCGGTAGCTCGACGCGAACTTGGCACTCCTTGAACGCAGATACGGATGTTCTATCAACCAAGCGGAGCAGCACAATCTCAGCCGCAATCACAATCACGGTCACTGTATTGGCTCACCTATCTCTTGCTCACAAGGCTTGTTGTGTACACAATATACAAATGAACGATGCGATTAATGCTGATTTATGAATTAATACAAGTACAAAATCTTAGCACACCATATACTGTCGATACTTTCCATACGTATATGCTTGATTATAACAACTGTTTGATAAATATTCAATTTAGCGTGCATTAGAATAACTGTGTTCTTCTTAAACATCAGTCATCCTTTATAAAAGGAGTAAATCAAAAACATAGGAGATTTAAAGGATAAATGTTGACTTGAAAATCCTCAGATGTCTTCAATGCGTGCTGAGTGTGATTGTGTTCTTCCGATATTTCTATAGTAGCGTTTCCTTCTTCAGCTTTTAAATGTGGAATTTACAGTGAGCCTTGGTTTCAGAAGTGTCCTAAACTAACAATTACACAAGCTGCAAAAAGAAAAAGAGACAATTGAAGAAATTAAAGTTTTATCCACAAAATATATCTTATTTTTTAATTTGTCATGTAACAATAATTGTGATTTTTCTTATTAAAATACTAAAATATATAAAATACACAATGTTATCCTTAAGTAACACAATGTCTCTCATAATATAAATGATATAAAACTGAAAATAAAGACAAGAGACTTTATTCCTTATTTTATTCTGAAAGATGTTTATAGAAATTAACTTAACAACTTTTGTTGCCTATAGTATTATATATAGTAGTGTAATTGTGTCAACTGCAAAAAAAGAAACAAAAAATAAAATAAACATAAAGACCCTATACACAACATAATATACACAACAGTCTTGTTGAAAAATACTAATCTAAAATCATAAAGAATTCAATCGTTGCGCACGGACCGTAAATATAAACGACTGCATATATTACATATGCACATAGGTTACATTATCTCTGCAAAAAAACGGCAAAGAATGTTTCTTTTTCCTTTGAGGGGTTTTCAAAGTAACTAAAGCAAAACAATTGCGCGCTTATCTATAGTGCTCTACAGCGCAAGGAGCGCGCTCCTTTCCAATTATCTGACAATGCGACATTAACTCGGTGCTGCGAAACGTACTGTTTTATATCGTTACGCATCGGCCACATGATTGCTGAGAATTCCGTGTAACGCGACATTCCACGTTGCCGCGACATTGTGCGGACACGATCGTGAATCATGATCACGAGTCTCAGAGAGTCGCGCTGCGATCTCTGCCGATTCTCACCCTGTGGGGCGCTATCGCAGATTATTACCGGATCCGGTTACGCCAAGTGTTCGGGGAATTCGAAAAAGGGGTTGCGGCGGTCGCGCTGATACGCGCGACGGACTCGATAATGGTGGGTAGCGCGCGGACGAGGACCGCGGACGGATCATTTCGAGGAGCTCTCGCGTTTTGGCCGGAGGAGCAACGGTCAAGTCGTATTATCATGTGCGCTCGCCGCGGGTACGAGGTTCTGATTTTTTTATGAGGTCGCGGGCCGCCTCTTATCTCGTCGCGCGAAGCAGCGTGTTATTCCGCGCGTCCGCGCCGCCAAATCCGTCCGACGTTTGCACGTTTGTCGGCACGGGATCGCGTCGCTCCAGGTGACGCGCTTTCTTACACAAGGCTCGCAATTGTACGGCAGTTAGAAAATTTTTCAAGACTCACCACGACACAGCACAGCACTGACGACATGCCGCCATGTTGAATGTCAACATTCAGCGTTCGCATACACACACACACACACACACACACGGGTAGCCACCGAACGCAGGCAACGCATTGGCGCTTTAAAAGCCGGTTCACAATACAATTGAGACGTTCTGTTTCTGAAGCCTCCTGAGCCCATATTTTTAACATTTTTACGTATGTATACGTAATTTTTATTACGCAGTTATTTTATAACTATATAACTATATCTACGCAAAAGAATTTTGGACCCCTGATTCTCGAAAATATATTGCACACGATATTTAGTGAGAAACTATAGCATACGTAATATAAACATGAACGCGATTAGCGATGTTCAATGAGAGTATTGCTTTAAAAAGAAATAAGAGCTCTCATTGAATATCGTTCATTGCTAATCGCATCCAGTGTGAATCTAGCATAAGGGTGAAATTACACGGTGCGTAAAAGAGATGCGGAATAGAGAATATGTCATTGAAGCAACTAATCAGCGCTATGCTGCTCTTTGCTGATTGGTTGTCGCTATGCGCTGATTGGTTGCTTCTATGATGCACTCTCTATTCCGCAGCTCTTTTAGTGCTACAATAGGTGTAGTAAGCTTTAAGCCATAAGAAACTGACCAATTACAATAAATTATTCTTCTATAATTTGACTATGATTAGTCAATTTTTTAAAGCTTAAAGCTTACTATACCTATTATAGATCGGGACTTATGCAAAATTCACACCGCTTCTGATGTCCGACATACGATATCCGATATCCAATAGGAGAACAGCTTTCTAATAGAGAATTCAATTCTCCATTGGAAAGCTGTTCTCCTATTGGATATCGGACGTCGTTCGTCGGACATCAGACGCGGTGTGAATCCTCCATTCGCCATTACGTCTAGACGTATCTGAACAAGTTCGGATCTAATATTTTTTTGAACTTGTACTTCGGTATCTTGGCAGAAAGGGCTATTTGAGAAAGTCTGCAAGTCAAGTAAAATATAGAGAAGAAGAAGAAAGTCTAATCAGATAATCTAAAATTTGGTTCTGCTTTACTTCATTAGACCGAATGCAATCCTCATTCTAGTCTGACAGGATGTGTTCAGCGAACTCAACAGTTGCACAACAGTTGAGCAATTTGTCAATATAATTGGTCTAAATTTAGGAATCTAATAGTAAGAACCAATAATCGCTGATTGCTCACTGAGCGCTTTTTCCGCTGAACGCGCCTATACAGATATATGACTTGTCATATTCTCGAAAAATATCGCATACGATATCTCTATAAAAAGCTATAATTCATGTCACGTATACTATAGCTTTTTATTGAATTATTGTATGACATTTTTCGAGAATAAAACAATCGCTGTTTTTTTTCGAAGAACTTCCTAAAACTGATTCGAATGCTAAGCACGCTTTTCTGATTCTCAAATTAAAACAACTTTATATGAAACGCTCATATAAGAAAAACAAAATTTGGAATAAAAAGGTCGTACTTTGCGCTTAAATACGCGTCAAAAATACACAGCTCCTGCGCTAGAACTTCGTTCCTATTCCTTTCAACGTTCAATTATACTCATTTCACTATAAAAGTGGAATCTAGTTTAGTAAGAAGAGATCTTTTTTGATTAGACGCCATGCGAATTACGACTTTGAAAGTTGTCGCGTTCATGTGTACGCACAATATTAACGTAAGTACAGTTACATCTGTATTTTCACGATCCCGTGAGCGTGACACAATTGTTACTTGTTTATGGTTATAATGAAAAAAATATTTTTACGGGTGACGTTTGTGTAGCGAAACGGCTGAAATAGGCGGAGAAACGACACGGTTAGAATTGCGCACCTGATGTGCGCGTACCCTGCGTAAGCCGTGCCGTTCAGCGGATTGTGAAATGGAGAGTATATTTCACGAGAAGGTAAGTGCAATTCCGCCACGGCAATTCGACAGATTCTCCGTGGAAAGTGGGATCGCGCCAAACACCTCGTCGATGTTTTGCAGCAAGAGGGATACCTATGCGCCCAACATTGCTTAAATGCGCTTCTACAAGGCCCGTATTTTAACGCTGTAGATCTGGCGAGTTTCGGACACCAGATGGACGAGGAGGAGAGAATCAGGATGGCCGAGTCGGGTGTAGACAGTGAGGATTACAGGCTCTTCTTGGAGGTAAACACAGTCTCACAAATAGAGCTTTCGAATGTCACGTATATATATTGCGATAAATGATCGAAACACCATGTGCACCACAATCTAATTCAACTTACGCTGAATACATTGCTTTTTTTCCTTGATATTTTCTTGACATAGACGTTCAGAAAACATTTAGTCTTGTTATTATCTTAGCCAAGAGCCAAGCTGATATGAATAATTATGAAGGAAACAAGTCACTATTGAATCTAATAAAGTTTGACACATATCAATGCTTATACTACTATAAATATGAAAGTTGGAATTTTGTTAGGAAAATGATTAAATTATTACAAAATTATGCAGCATATTATATGGTCACAATTATATAGGATAATTTATACACAAGAATATTATATATAAATATATATTTTATGTGTAGTTAACATGTAAATATATATATATACATATATATTATATATAAACTACATTATATTATGACATGTAGGTTTACTTGTAATATTTACTTATTGATATTCTTGTAGAGAAACAGTTTTCCTTCATAATTATTCAGATATGTTTATAACAACAGCAAAATGCTTCTTATGTTTAGCAACCATCGGGAAACATGGACGACAGTGGATACTTTTCAGTTCAAGTTATTAGCAGTGCTTTGAAAGTTTGGGGTTTAGAACTGATTCCATATAACAGCACGGAACCGACAGCTTTACTGGCACAGCATGATCCTTCGTAGGTTATTTGTTAATTCTTTTTGATCAGTGACTATTTGAGTTGTTTTCAAACACTTTGTTCTATTGCACTTGCAACAAAGCATTCTCTTTAAAGATTTCATATTCTGTAGAATAATTATAGTAATAATGTAATAAGAATCATGTGTAAGTTGAGCATTACATTAAACAAACATGTTTATACATCCAATCATGTTCACATACTTCAAAATAGCTTTGCTTATCATGCTTTTGTAAAAAATGAATATAAATGCTTTTGTTGAAATGAATATAAATTTGTTTAATTTTCAGGCGGATGAAAGCATATATCTGTAATTATAGAGGACACTGGTTTACAATACGAAAACTCGGAAACCAGTGGTTTAATCTAAATTCAATGCTCAGTGGTCCACAACTTATATCAAATACTTATCTTGCAATGTATCTAGCTCAATTGATTCAAGAAGGTAAGCACAAAACAGGAAGCAAATGTGTGACCACGATAAAAACATTGCGTTAATCGTCAAACACGTTTTTTTCGTGTAGGTTACTCTATCTTTATCGTTAATGGTACATTTCCACAATGCCCTGCTGAAGATGTTCTCTTGAAAAATCCCGTAGTTGTGACGACGCAAAGAAGTAACGAAAAGGAAGATTCAAAGATCACACCCAAAGGTTATCGCTTAGGTACCAAGGCAGAAGATGACATTATGAAAGCTGCGCTTGCGATGAGCGAAATCGAGATTCCACAGTCGTCCTGCGCGACCAGAAGCTCGTTGTTTTCGCACCCAACCGAGGTACCCACGGATAAACCTCGTGAAAGAATAATACCTGTAAGAGTCGAGGGTTTAGGAGAAGAGGAGGAAGAAGAAGTGACAGACGAGGACGACGAGGACGATAATATGCAGTTAGCAAGGGCTCTGGAATTGAGCTTGCAGGATTCCAGGAACGACACAGACAAGACTCTAAAGTTAAGGTTGGACCTCACCGATGGAAAGACATTGACGCATTTAACGAACTCAGTGGACGAAGCAGACGAGGATGACGAACTGAGAAAAGCGCTACAGTTGAGCCTCGAGTGCGTCACCGCCCCACCGACACCAGATCCAGAGGATTTACGATGGCGTCGGTTGAATCATTTTGGCATATACACGAACAGAACGCCGAACAGCGAAGCTCCCGCGAATCTAAACACTTAACAATAAGCACAAACTCAGACACAAACAGACTTGCAGACTTTCATACACTGTACTAGACCACTGACAGCGATACTTGAGAATCTTAATAAGATCTGATACTGATATCATTTGGCGTGTTACTTGATCGTACAAGGTGTCTGATGATAACATATAAAACTCTTGTGCATGTGTATATTAGGCCAAACAAACTCTACCATTTTGCAAAAATTACAAAATTTTGATTAGTTAAAGAAGATTGGTAAATAATCACGCACGATATAGTAGATGAGCTGTGATAGCGACTGTTCAAATTGAACAAAAAATCCTATACTATTTTGCAAATAACTACGTCGATTGACGTCGATTTTCAGTTATTGACTGTATTCTAATATTCACTGTCAGTACTAAAAACCTATAATTCATGTTAAATACACTATACAGGGTGTCCCAGATCATCTTCACAATCTTTCGTGAGGACGTAGAGCGGATTGAGATGAACACAAAAGTTCCATACCGTTTTGCAATATTCTCAATAATAACCAAGAAATTATAAAAGACTAAGGAGAAACGCACGCTGAATGGTTGAGGAAGGAGCGGCTCGCGATTCAATAATATAGTAGGCGGATGTCAACGTGCAGCGAGTGGTAGATCAACGCGCCACTGTCTGTGCTTATATCGCTGCGATCCTACGTCTTGCCGCACCGCACTGAGGTGATATGTAGGAATGTAGCGATATAAACATAGGCAGTGGTGTGTTGTATTTCCAATCATCGTGTACCGATATCCGCGTACTATATTACTGGGTTCGCGCTGCGGCTTGAGCACTCCTCTTCCATCATTCAGCGTGTTTTTCCTCAATCTTTCGCAATTAATTTTTCGACTATTATTGTGAATATCGCAAAACGATATAGGACTTTTGTGTTCATATCATCAGCTCTACGACCTCACGAGAGATTGTGAAGGTGATATGGGATATCCTGTATATTTTTCATACATCGGAACGCAACCATTGAAGGAAGACGAGCGATCGCGCGCAATAATGCACCAATCTTCTTTAATCAATAACTCGGCATTTTACGCGATTGTTTGCAAAATCGCAGAGGAACTTTTTGTTCAGATTTACCTAATTTATATACGAAGTATGGAACATTTATCGTCGGACACCCTGTATATAGTAAATTATTTACAACAAATATGCGATATAAATCTAAGATTCCCTTGTGCATACTACTCTATTTTAGTGAGGTAATGACAGAATACCCGAGTATAAGAATTACAAACATCTATTTGAAAGGTTTATTCCCATCTTTATATGTCTCATCTCCAAACTAGTTCAATGTCAGAAAGTAGCGCCGTATTTTGGGAAGGCAAGAAATAACCACGATATACAGGGTGTCACACTTCAAAACGTGAGTGTTTCAAACATTGATAAAATAGAAAAAAGTTGCTTACATAAGAGCAATGGACTTTATTTTGTAGTATCAGTGACGAAAATAATCAAAATGTAAACTTATCTGTGATTACATTGAATAACTGCTTTGCTTCCCTGAGATATGGCTGCAGTCATCTTTACTACTACTATTACTACTACTACGTGCACCTTACATCACATCTCAAGAGTTCTGTGGTCAATGGTCTAGTATGTGGAAGTCTGTAGCACAAACTCTGCTAATACTAAAACTGAACCTGAACGCTGCATTGTAAATTATATGATTGAGTAGTTAAGCCCGGCAGGAATGTCACTTTGTATACTAATGTTATAATGATAAGAGATGTCTTCGAAATGAGATAGACTAAAGATATATTTCTGATTCCTTGAGACTGAGAGGGAGCCTTATTCAGCGTGTCTCCTTCTCTTTCCCAACATTGTTATACTAATCGTATTGCAAACTAAAAAAATGACAGAGGTATTAAAACTTGTTTTGCCATATACGTTATTTAAACACAGTCAAGAGTGTGATACGTTGGTCTAATTAATTTTTATGTATCCCATTTACCCTTTTGCACGACGCAATTGTATACATAACTGTAAATAGGGAATAACGGTCCCAGTGCTGTAAAGTAGAGCGAAGAAGAAATGAAAAACCGTCATCTTTCCCGATTAAAAACTGCCACAAGCGAAATACTTAGTTTACGTAGACGTGCCATTGGTCCGAGCACGTAGACAGCTGCGCGTCCGACCTGCGCAGTTGAGAAAAAATTGTACTTCCGTGCGCTGTTTTGCCCGAGTAGGTATCTGAAGTTGGTTACTACCGGATCGAACAGATCAAGTCTAGGTATTCGTGCATCATGATTGTTGATTAAAAAGAAATCCAAAATGTTTATCGACAATTTAATGTGACGTATTAAATTTATCGATGATATTAACTGGTACTAACTCGTTCTTTCAACCTGACGTTTAATCTCGCGTGATTAAACGGAGTTTCCGAATTTCGCCAAACGACGGCATCTTGAACAGTGACAAAACCGTGCGTGCTCGATCTGAATTCGAAATCGCCGTGACGGCACATACGTTAAAGTGAGTAACGCCATCGTGTCCTACTAAACGGAAAATCCACTGTGGTAAAGCAACATGATACGTCACTGGCGCGCTATCCCTATATATTAACAAATAAACAAGAGTAACAGAAATTTATCCAAGATCCTCCGCACTCGAGGCTCGTCTACTGCCACGGCGCGGAAAGGAGCGTGCACCGATCGACGGACGCGCAGCTCGAGAATCGGTGGATTCTCTCTCCGATCAGAGAGATCACACAGCGAAGTGGCAAATCCTACAGCGCGGCGAGAGAGAAGCATTCGCGTGCGAGGCGCAACAATACAACGCCGGGCGAGAGGACGAGCTGTCGCGCGCGGCAATGGTGGTGAGGCGGCGGTAGCGCCGATAACGACGGCGAAGTACAACGGTGCGCGAGAGTCGCAATTCTGTGCGGTGTCGGCAACCTGCGACGGTGAGGAGGCACGACGACACCTGCTCGACGAGGAGAACGCCACGGGAACAAACAGGAACGGACGTACAACGACGGCCATACTTAAACAATCGCCGAGCGGAGCGCGCGATACGAGAGATGCAGTAATGATAATAGTAAAATAGAGAAAGATAAGGACAGAGAGACCAAGATTGAGTGAGAGAGGGGGAAGAGAGAGAGAGAAGCGCGATCTCCGCTCGCAGCAGCCGCGCGCGAGGCTACGAGACGAGGACGGCACGAACTAAGCTGCATCGAGTCGAATCGCGTCGCGTCGCAATCGGGCACACGAGTGTAACCGCGTTATATCGGTGCGCGCGAGGGGGCGAGGAACACCGCGGAGGAGCGGCCGGAACGGGCGGAAGTGTAGGCCGTGTGTGTGAGCGAGCGTGCGTGCGTGCGTAGGGTAAAGGGGTAGTAGCGGGCGAACGGTAGCAGCGCGTAGGGGCCCGTGCGGTTTAGGTTCGGCGCGGGGGCCAGTTACTCGCGATGAGCGCCAAGACGGACGTGAACAGGCGGGTGCTGGCGATCCAAGCGAAGAAGAAACGGCACAAGCCCAGTAAGCGCAAAGGCAAGGCCAATCCTCAGAGCGAGCAGGACGCGCAGTTCTCCAAAGGGCCGCGCGGCCAGGTGACGGCCGCCGCCGCTGGTTACTCCGACGGCGCCACGGCGCAGCGCTCGTATCCCAGCGACAACGGAAACAGGTAAAGCCGCGAGCGACGACCGGTTGCCAGAGGTGTGCCCGGGCCTGCACGTTACGCCGCGCACCGTACAGTTACGCGGTGCTCGCGGTGCTTACTGTGTCACGTTACGCGCTCGTCGTCACACGTCCCATCGGTTCACGGGGATCACATGGTACCTCGCGGGTTCACGGGTGTGCGTGATAACGTCAAGCACAATAGAAGTCAAGAAGCGAATTTGTGTGTCGTGTAACCACTTAATTCCGCGGCTGAGATCAGAGACTCAGCAGTGGTTGTAGTTGCTAAACAAAGGGAAGGAAACTGCTCTGGCTGCACCTCAACGTCGACTGACAGCTCGTCGATTTCGCGAATCGACTTGCCAATAGTCATGTTAGGAATAATTTGTGCTTTCTGTTTGAACAATCTCCTGATTTCATCTTGAATAATCTTTCTGTTTTCTCACTATTGTCCTCTAATCAATGTAATATTATGTATATTTAATGGAGATACATAATGCACACAGTATGTTCTGTATTTCTTTTGATCTGTCGATTCTTTGGTGAAGAATCTCAAGTCGATGTTTTCCTTACAAAGATGTCAAGATACCAATTAATATTAAGTTGCAATTACATGTTTGAGAACTAAGCTTTCAATCTACCAATAACAAGTGACAGTTTATTTTTAGTACAATATTCAGTTTTCCAAAAGCTAGTTTTACTTTAACAAAACTGTCAACTATGGCAGCTGAAATATATTCAACACTAAAAGTCCCAAGTGTTGATAAATGTGTCCATGGGAGTCAAATGTTGACTGTGAATGTTCTGTGTGGATTATATCTCCTTATTTCTATTTATGATGGGATTTATACATTTGTCGTAGATTGGAACAATGTCATAGTTCCAGCAACGAGACGATAGAGGATGACGACGAGGTGTTCAGCAGTGAGGATGAGGAGCAGGAGGACAGCAGTGACTATTGTAAAGGCGGGTACCATCCCGTGAAAATAGGAGATCTCTTTTTAAATCGCTATCATGTCACTCGTAAGCTCGGCTGGGGTCACTTCTCCACTGTATGGCTCTGTTGGGATTTACAGGTACGACTTCTTCATGATACATCAATGATCCTCTTTTACACTTATAAATACGGGCTGTCTTGAAAATATTCTGCAGGATAAACGCTTTGTGGCGCTTAAAGTCGTGAAATCCGCATCCCATTTCACTGAGACTGCATTGGATGAAATTAAATTATTAAAAGATGTGCGCGACACGGATCCCGCCGATCCTAAACGCAATAAGACCGTCCAGTTGCTCAATGACTTCAAGATCAGCGGCATTAATGGTCTGCATGTTTGCATGGTATTTGAAGTGCTCGGACATAATCTCCTTAAATTGATTATCAAGTCTAACTACAGAGGAATTCCAAGAAATAATGTTAGGCGCATCATCAGACAGGTCCTTGAAGGCCTCGACTATCTTCATAACAAATGTAAGACGATTGTTTAAATTATTGGTAGTAGTAAAACTATATGTGTACTTATAGCCATTTCTGTGTCTCGATGCAGCAGTTTTAATAGAATGCTGTAAAGAACATTTAACACTGTATATAATGTATACATAATTCAGTAGTCATTATATGTGCAATTTATATATAGAAATATGTGCATAAACACACAGAATGTTACGACACGCGAAAATCTACGATTACGTAATACATCGAATTTCCTTGCAGGTAAAATTATTCATACAGACATTAAACCTGAAAATGTTCTTGTGTGCGTCGACGAAACTTACATTCGAAAATTAGCTTGCGAAGCAACGGAACTGCATTCTATGGGAGCAAAATTACCGGTGTCCTTGATATCCACCGCGCCGAAGGAGTTTCAGGAACCCACTCCAAATTCGAAAATGTCCAAGAACAAAAAGAAAAAGCTAAAAAAGAAGGCTAAGCGTCAGAACGAGCTCCTGAGGAAGCAGATGGAACAAATCGAGGAGTTAGAAGAACAAAATAAACTCGCGAACAGCACGAGAGAGAACGGAGAAGTTGAGACGAACAGTTTGGATCAGGACCTCAATACGGAAAGCATAGAGGACAATACGGAAAGCAAGGGTTCACCCGACATCTCGGAGCCGTCCGCCCCCTCCTTACATATGAACGGAGTGGACGGCTTAGCAGACGGCGAGAAGATACAGAATCCGTCGCCCGAGCAATCTGAGAAAATGGAGAACGTGACTCTCTGCGACGTGGAGAAGAGTTGCGGCGAAAGTGTACTACCACCTGATCCCGAGGATACCGACGAATGTAGCGAAGGTAGAGTGATCGCCGTCGGAGGATAAGACGCGCGGCTATGTTTGTTTCTCTCAGTCCGACCGGAATTATTCATTGTCTCACTTGCAGGTCGTAATTTAAATCCGCCGGAGAGCAAACAACTGAAACGGGCATCCGTGGCACCGTTAGATCCAGCAATAGTGGAGTGCGAGGTCGACGTGAAGATAGCGGATCTCGGCAATGCGTGCTGGGTTCATAAAAAGTTTACAGACGACATCCAAACTCGTCAGTACAGGTCGTTGGAGGTCCTGCTGGGATCCGGATATGACACTTCCGCGGATATCTGGTCCACCGCTTGCATGGCGTTCGAATTGGCGACTGGAGATTATCTTTTTGAACCGCACAGTGGCAAGGACTACTGCAGGTGACGATTGGAAGATTTACACTTCGTAATTACAATTAGCGTAGACTGGCGCAAGGGTCGAAAAGTCGAGTATAGGAAATAGACAGGAATAGGTTAAGTTGATCAGTTTATTTATAACTTTAGCATAAATCCAATAAACAGCTTCAAATTTCCATCACTCAGCTTAGGGACACTGAATAATTTGTAGAAAAAGTTCTTTCCTTTGTTGTTTTATTCATAGTACGAGATTTAATTTGATAAATTTACTCACAGCTTTTATTCGACTTAGGGACACTTTGAATAATTTGTAAAAAAGCAATCAGGTCTATTCCGTTGTTGTTTTATTTATAGTACATTAGGTTGATTTGCTCGAATTTCTTTGAATTAATCAAAACCAGCTTTCGCTACTGCTTGCCCCAGTCTGCGGAGCGTGTAATCGTTCTCCCGCGACGCTATTTTAAGTATCGAATCTATTCCCGTTAACATTTCAGAGATGAAGATCATTTGGCTCATATTATCGAGTTGTTGGGAGAAATACCGAGACGTATCGCACTCTCGGGTAAGAACTCGAAGATATATTTCAATAAAAAGGGAGAGCTAAAGCATATCACCGTGTTGAAGCCGTGGGGTCTATACGAAGTGCTGACAGAAAAGTACGAATGGACGCCGAGCGAAGCGCGCGAGTTCGCAGAGTTCCTAACACCGATGCTCGAGTTCAACCCGAGCATGCGAGCTACCGCAGCCGAGTGCCTGAAGCATCCATGGCTGCAAATCAAAAAGTGATCGCGTTTTTTTATCGTTTTATCTGTAATCCCCTCGACTCTCATCCCGGTCCTAACGCCCAGATTACAATCGTAAATCGAGAGTGTGATAGGAAGCCGAATAACCAGCAGGTGTCAGCCGGGTATCACACATCGCCGCAGCGAATCGTAATCTCGTGACCCAATTTACATGCGAGTATAGTAGTGGTTTCGAATTCCCCAAGAGCGCACACCACAAAACTATTTGATATATAAGATGAGAATTACGGGGAATTGTAACATATGTTATTATACTGTAATCGCCACGAGGGAAGATGTCTTCGCGAGAGGGAAATGTTACGTAAACCGAAAAAAGATGTTTCAAGAAGATTGTTATACCCTTTACACAAATGGTGATTTGACAATATCACGGAAGTCGTTCCGGGAAAATTTCTCGCGAGCGCAGCGAGCGAAGTGTCGCAAAATCCGAAAATCGTTCGACAGGAAGATCTTGCTACATTCCGCTGATTTCCATAACGGCCGTGCGTGCGCGCTTCCTAACGCAACACTCTCAAGACATCGGCTGACCATTCGCGTAGTAGTGTGTACACTTGTTAAATCATATTTTTAATTAGAGATGAGAGACTTAAATTAAAGAATTTCATAGTACTTTGTTACTTTACACATTCGTGCCGCATCCTTCGTAAACCGTCGTTTAATTTAGAGCTACGAATATTCCAAGAGTCGTGGGACCCACTCGTAATGCGCTGTGACGATACTGGCGGGCTCGGTAACGTGTTTGGTTTAAAATTAGGCCGTTCGCCTTGACTCAGTTATCCGTGTATACTCTCTCATATACTGCGCACCGGTCGCTGTAAATTCTTGCCAACAAACTTGTCGAGTAATCGCAAGGGGGACAGAAGTGGCTACTTAATTAATATTTTACGTCTACCTCAGTCTACGCGAGCCGTTCAGAAATACTCACGAACGCATGCACGTGATATGTGCGAGACTTGCCGCATTCGCGTGTCAATCGAAATAGATGAACTTGTATATTGTAGATAAATTGTGGAAGAGAGTCGGTCGCTAGATTCTTGGTATATACACAATCAACGTGGGCGCTAATTGGGATAAGACAGCACGCGCGTGTACAGTGTGCATCGACGAGACGCATTCACATGCCATCTAGCTAATACAAAATTGTAAAGTAATTTTTCCAATTTGCATATTGGCGTTAGGTAGGCAATTTAAATTTTCTTTCCGCAGCGAACGGCGATAAGGCTGCACAAATTACAATTGCGTATACAGTATAAAGCTCGAATCAGACCAACGATTGCCGATTGATAATTGGCGATTGACGATTGGTTCTCAACCAATCGAAGCAAAGTGTAACTATTGATTGTGGATTGGGATTACTCTGATTAGTTAAACACTAATCGCCAAGCATCAATTGTCAATCGTCAATCGCTAGTCTGATTCGGGCTTAAGAGAAACCGCGCACACACACTCACAC